ATCAGACAGAGAGCAAAAATATGCAGGTTTTTGGTTCAAAAATTTGGCTAAGTGTTGGAACATGAGATCGATCGAACTGGGAAGTTGGATCGATCGAAGAACTTTCAGATCGATCTTGGAATGTTTCGAACGATCAGACAGAGAGCTGAAATATGCAGGTTGATGCAGGCTCAAAATTTTTCTAAATGTTGAGTTATGAGATCGATCAAACTTGGAAGTTGGATCGATCGAAGGTCTCTTGATCGATCTTAGAGTTGGTTCGAACAATGGGACAGAGAGGTGATTTGGATGCAGGTTTCTGCAGGTCGAAAATTTTTCTAAGTGTTGGATGCAGAGAAGAGTTCGATCAATCGAACTCAAGTTTGAGATCGATCGAACTATGCAAAATGCTCAATAATGACATGAAAGCTTATGCAATCCTCACCAAAGTTCCTTGAAATGCATATGAACCAAAAACAAGTATCTAGACTTTGCAAGAAATGAAATGAAAGATAGAAATGGGGGAGGAATAAGGTTTTAACACCCTACGAATGCTTTTGCTAGTCTTTAATGTCTCTAGCAAGACATTGGGCTCTTTTAGCCCAGATCAAAGATCTTATAATGCATCCCCTCCTTGTTGGGATGATAGACGCTTTGAACTCCACCCAACAAATGGTTCTTTGAAGAACTTGTTGGATTAAGCTCAAAAGAAGTCTTTGGTCCCTTGTTTATGCAATTACAACCTTTGGGCTTCCATGCCCTTTCAAAGCAAGAGTTTGAAACAAGACTTTTAGAATGCAAGGTTGAAGATGATCCTTTGGAAGTTTTGGTTTTACACAAAAGCTCATTTCCTTGGCATTGAAGATTATGACATTCATCTATAACATTAACTTCTCCTTCATATTTGTCAAATGAATTGGGTGTGGGATTAAAGATATTCAACTTCACCTTCATGTGGCCAAATGAGATCTTCATTATCCCCATCTTACAATTGATGTTAGCATTAGCGGTTGCTAAGAAAGGACGGCCAATGATAACAAGAATTTGGCTATTAGGATTGGGAACCGGTTCCGTGTGTATGACAACGAAATCAACCGGGAAGAAGAATTTGTTAATCTTTATCAAAACATCCTCAATTATACCCCTAGGCTTCTTAATGGATCGGTCGGCAAGTTGCAAAACTACCGACATCGGTTTCAATTCACCTAAGCCCAATTTGACATAAACCGAGTATGGAAGAAGGTTAACCCTTGCTCATAAGTCAAGAAGCGCCTGATTAATGATATGATCACCAATAATGCATGATGTAGTGGGTGAACCGGGGTCCTTAAACTTTGGAAGAGTGTTATGTTGCAAAATTGAGCTTACTTGCTCGGTCAAAACCACTTTTCTTGGTGCTTGGCTCTTGTTCTTCCGCTTTTGGGTGCACAAGTCTTTCAAGAATTTGGCATAAGCCGGAATTTGCTTGATTGCATCCAATAGTGGAAGATTAACTTTCACTAGCCTAAACATTTCCATGATTTCATTGGTTTTTGCCTTTTGCTTGTCTTTTGAAATGGATCCTTTTTAAGGCATCCAAAAATGGAACCTTTGGTTCAAACACTTTTTCAAAATTTTCTTTTGAACTCTCTTCAATACAAGAAGTTTTCAAATCTTTTTCAATAAAAATTTTTTAACATCATTTTTCAAAACTTCTTTTCCAAACACATCTTTTAAAACTTTCTCATTTACAAGATCATGTATATGTAATGAAGGAGGAATGGGATGTGAAACGGGACCGGTGACAACTTGAGGTTGCGCTGATTCACTCTCTTCATTAGACATTCCAACTTGATTGTCCACAATCTTACCACTCTGCAAGGTAGTCACCGCATTAACATGTTCAATGGTGTGGCCTTCCGATGAGGAATGGGTTTCCACAACACATTGTTGCTTAGGTGGGGCATTTATAGGCATCTTTCCTTTTTCTCTTGCATTGAGAGTGCTTGCTATTTACCCTACTTGGGTTTCTAGCTTTGCAATAGATTGAGAGTAAGAATGAAGCAATTGAGTGTTAGCCTCTAAAGTGCCCAAAGCATTCAAAACTTTCTCTTCAAAGGCGGGACTTCTAGTATTACCTTGGGAATAAGATTGGTTGGGAAAATGAGAATTAGCAAATTGATTCCCTTGTGATAGATAAGGTCTATAACCTTGGGATCCTTGGTTTTGAAGTGGAGGTGGAATGTACTTCCCTTGAAAACCACCTTGGGAAGGGTTTGAGCCCTCTCTTTGGTTTTTCCAAGAGAAATTCGGATGATTCCTCCAACTTGGATTATAATGAGTACCATAAGGATTGTTCCCTTGGTTCACAAAAGCCGCATTGACTTGTTCATTAGGTTCACTTTGCATTTGTCCGTGAGGACAATGAGAAGTAGAATTAAGAATACTAGAACAAGTCATATATGTTTCATTTGATGCACGATGAGAATGGTTAGGGAAGGAAGATACTTGGTTCGTCGAGTTTTGGTTAATCAAAAATTGATCAAACCTTTGAGACAAAGGCTTCATTTCGGCGGCTATTTCATTTGAATGGTCGACTTAATGTAAGCCAACACTCTTCCTACCTTGTGAATTTCTACCATTCTTGGATGATAGTGTTCTATGTAAAGAATTTTCACTCATGCTTTCATAGAGACGCCATACGTTATCCTCATGCCTATCAATGTATGAGCCACCCATGGAAGCATCAACCATACCCTTATAGTTGTCCGATAAGCTCTCAAAGAAGTATTGAACTAATTGTCATTTGGGCATGTCATGATGTGGACACTTCCTAAGCAATTCATTGAAGCGTTCCCATGCCTCATGAAACGTTTCTCCATCCCAATGTGAAAATTCTCGAATTGAGGTCCTCATGGCATTGGTCTTAGAAACCGGATAGTACTTATTCAAGAACTCTTGTCGCATTTTATGCCCAAGAAGTGATTGAAAAAGGCCTAAGATTGTTAAACCAATACTTTGCCTTGTCTTTTAAGGTGAATGGAGAAAATTTGAGTCTTAAAACCTCTTCTGGCATGTCCGTATATTTTACGGTGGAACATACTTCAAGAAACTCATCCAAATGCTTGTAAGGTTCTTCACTTGGAAGTCCATGATAGTTATGAAGCATTTGAATGGTTTGTGGCTTAATGTCATAATGATGTGCTCTGAATGGAGGCAATTGGATGCATGTAGGTGCATTATACTCATTAGGCACATAATGGTCTCTTAAAGCAAGAGGTGGATTAGCTACTTGAGGTGCAACATGAACAACTTGGTTTTGAATTCCTTGATTGTTGATAGGAGGTTGTGGAGCATACATTGCCCTTGGCATTCCATATGGAACTTGGCCTTGTTGTTGTGGTGGTTGGTGAATGAATGGCCTAGGCATGCCTAATGGTACTTGTATGTTCTCATTGTGCACATTGGGATGAAGGATACCTTGTTGGTCTATGCGACCAATGTCCTCAACATGATTGTCATTATGGTCATTCATTGAAAGATTAGCTCTATTTGAACTTCCTCTTCCCCTAGGATTTCTAATGATAGATTCTAGATATAAATCAAGAGGGATAAGTGTTGGTCTCAATGAACGACGTCCATGCATGCACAATGCAAAACACAACAAATACAAAGAATGACAAACACTATGCCTTCACAACAATGCAATTAGACTTCTTCCACAAACATTTAATTCACACTCCCATACTTTAACAACAATGATGCAAGACAATAAAAAATAAGCCTCCACACGGGCCGACGATTTAACTAAGGGATTGAGTAAAGAAAATCTCACAAAGGTCCTTTAGCACTTCAACTCCAAATTTAAAGCTTAGCTTAGTAATTTTAGAATTTTTAGCTTTTTACTTTCTTTGCTTGCTTGAATTGAATGCTTGATGGCCACTTTGCTTGCTTCCTCTCCAATAATGCACCTAGTTAAGTAATCAACACAACAAGTAACCAAAAAGAAAAATAAAAATAAAGTAAAGACATGATTAAAAGAGTACTAATCATAATCAATTCCACAAATCCGACGTTGCCAAATCTAATCAACAAATCCCCGGCAACGGCGCCAAAATCTGACGGAGTGGCCGTTCCTACACGCCAAATGGATGTAATGAATGTGTGGTTCAAGAAAAGCCTTTTGGGTCAAGTTTAAATTTATAAAAACCACTACTAACACTACTACTAAAGTAGCAAGAGTGAGTAGGGATCGTCCCAAGGGATTGTGGGGATCGAGCAATGTCGTGGAATCACAATTAGGGCTAGTAGGTCGAGTGATCAAATAATTGGTTGGTTAGTTGATTAAAGAGCAACTAAATTAAACTAAGTGATAGCAAAGAATGCAATTAAGAGTAAGTAAGAGAGAGAGATCTTGGGGTTTAGAGATCACCACCAAGCAATACATTTCTATATCATTGACAAGTGATTAATGAGGGCAAATGGTGTGTTGCAATATTGGTGTGTGTGTGTGTTTGGTTGATTCAACAAGCAAGGATGACTAGTTAAGTATGTATTGTCTAAACATCATGTGAAAGGCACAATATATCTAAGCAATGAAGCATATATTGTCTAAACAACATGTGAAAGGTACAATAAATCAAAACAAGTCATTAATCCTTTCATTAAGCTCACAATCCAAATACAACACAAGGTTAGAGACATATGCTAATTGCATTCAAAAGCTTGAATCATCAAACAACAAGCATAGATTGTCCTCCCATTTAACACTACACTACAACTACACTACATCTACAACACTAGCATGAAAATAAACTAGGGGAGATGCACAATCCATCAAGAGATAAGTATGAACCATCAAGAGAATCACAAAAGCATTCCTTTAAGTACTATGTTTTAACAATCTCCAAATCTATAGCATCAATACACATAGACATGCATCAATAACACAAAATCTAGAGACAAGCACATGAACATCTATTCTAGTATACATAGACATATGGATAGAATGAAATGACCAATTGGAAGCATTAAACCACATAAATCATTAAATAAACAAGATATATATATATCAAAGTATCAAAACATCAATTACAACACTAATTCCTCAATAATACACAAGATTAAGATATAGAAAGCATGCTTGGGGCTAACTCTAGCCCCAAGAAGATGTCTAGCCACTCATGGTAATGATGCTCCAACCCCCAAGGGCTAATTCCATGGTTGAAATCTGCTCATTGTTGATATAGAACTCCAATGGTGTCTCTAGCCTCCTTATCCTTTAAACTTTTTCTCTAAGAGATGATATGAAAATAAATGTTAGCTTTTTTTTTTTTTTTTTTTTTTTTTTTTTTTTTGTGTAAAAACAATCCTTATCCTTATATAGGTAGGTCAAAATGACACCAAAAATAGGCTGGGGTCGTGCACCCAATATTCCTTAATGATTGGATAAAGGACAACTTTCAATGAGATGGAATTTTAACTTTTTCGCACTAGAGGAAGTTCGATCGATTGAACCTTGAACTTGAATCGATCGAAAGTAAGTAAGATCGATTAAACTTAGGCTGGATCGATCCAACTGGCTGAGCTTTTTGGAAAAAGACAAATCCGAGATATTTATGGGAAAAGGACAAAAGTGGTTAGTGGGTGGTACAGCTGTAGATAGTATCAATCATTTGAATAAGGACAATAGTGTTCGATCGATCGAATGATGGTGTTGGATCGATTAAACTTTTGGAACTTTATACTTTTGGGTCAAAGCTTGGATCTATCTTGAAGTGCTGAGATCGATCATTGTTCGATCGATAGAACCTTGAACTTAGATCGATCGAACTTTGCAGCTTGCCACCTTTTGCTTCATTTGCTTCCTTCTTTCTCCACTTTGCTCATTTCTTTGTTTAATCCCAGAATTGCTTCAATTAAGCTCTTATTTTGGCTAAGTTAGCTTATTTTCGGGATAAGTGCCTGAAAAAGGAAATAATACGAAATCAATCTAAAACGGTAAAGTAAGATAGATAAAGGTACTAGAATGCCTAAGCTTAAGGGGTTTAAATACGCACTTTTTAGTGCTCATCATGTATAAATATAGTGTCACGCCCGAAATTCTAAGAAAATGCTCTGATACCATTTTTGTAACGACCCAAACTTAGGGGTCCAAACCGTATCCGGGTCCTTACTCGAACCCGAGGTCATCTACTGTCACTACAGTCATTCCTAATTCTAAACTACAAGGGAATACATCATACCAAATCTGAAAAACTAAAATACGGATTCTAAATTTCTAAAGTCTTGCAATTTTCAAACTCATTTGTGAGCCATACTAAAGGCTAACCCTGTCCCACAACAGTTACCACATGCATCTATAATGGTAATATCACGATCACACACATAGACGAAAAAACCAAAAGTTCATTTACATGAAACATTACATCCGACTACAGTCCCAAGACATAAGCTTACGAAAGAGATACAAAACAAGTTTAAAGTTTTACAAAACTTGTATATACAACAGAAAATAAAAAAAAAAGTCCGTTAAGTCCTGTTTAAACCTGTGGGGGATGTCTTTCGCCACTTCCTTTTCGTGTCCTGAAAAATAATAGTAAGGAGTGAGCACAACGGTTCAGTAGAAGATGCCTAAAACGCACTCCTTAATGCCTCCGTGAATCCAAACAAAGAATAGCGATAAGAAAAAGGGTCATGCTTGTTCGGGAAATAATAATCATCACATAATACGATCTCGTAAACGCAACGAAATGCAATGTTAATGAGGTGCCAATGTCTCTCTCTATTATCCAAAATTCTATCGAATATTTTCCCCAAATTTCAGATTTTGCTTTCATTTCGAAAATAAAATCTTCTCCTTTTAAAAAAAATCTGTTCTGCCCCATGTAATGCCCAATGTAATGCATGAATGATACACTTCATAATCTCATAATGTTATATCATTTCCAACATCAAATTTCAGTTCTATAAGTTGTACTCAATAACAAACTAAAATGACAATTTTAAACCCACAACATAATCATTCATGTTTTGAAGTCAAGGTCCCAGTTCAGTTTTTGAGCAACAACAACCACCATAATCCTTACAACAAAACAATCTTATTCATGCTTTAGAAACAAGGTACAAATTTCAGTTTTATATAAAACTATAACACCATCGTTGTAATAACTAATTTTTCAGTTTAGAGAACACCCAACATCAAAACCATCATGCACGCTTTAAGGACAATGTACCAATCGGGGTTTTTTTTTTTTTTTTAATTATTATTATTATTATTTTTAAACAATATTAACAACACCTAACTTAGAACTAAACAATCCATAAGTGAGGTAAACTAAACATCAAATTTTCAACATCTAATCAACAACAATACAACCATTATGGTTACTATAATTTCAATTTTATACACATAAACACAACCGACATTAAGAAGAGCTCTAATTCAATGTTTAAAACAAATAACATGTCATCCCCATGTAAGCAGCAAAATTTCAGACTTGCAACAACAACACAATAACAAAAAGAAGCTTACAACAAAACAATTTCATGGTTAAATTATCATAGGAATTTCAGTTTATAAGCATAACTACCCAACCATTGTAATTACTAGAATTTTTTGTTCTATGCACATGAACACAACCAATATTTAAAGGGCAAAAATTTCAATTTTTAAAAGAAAGAAAACCACAACACACCATTAATATACAAACTATAAATTTCATATTTAACTACATAACATGTTTGCAAGGAAATTTCAATTCTTGTCATATAGTGGTTCAACTAAGAAGGTTAATTCATAAGAAAAACAAAAGAATTGAGGTTTAGGACAACCCCTATCTCAACCAAGCAAGATCTTCAAAACAGCCCCCAAATTTGAAATTCCTAGCCCCTTGCAAGATTGGTCTCAATTAAAAACTCTCCTCAACTCATCAACTTCCTCACCTATGGCTTCATAAAATCTCACTTTAATCACTCTAAAAACAAGCTTAAAATGTGAAAGACATTTAGTGCATAAAGATGGATATAGAGTGAGAAAGTGAAGGGTTAGAGAAGAAAGAGTATTTTGCCGGGTGAAGGAAAGAAGAGAGGAAATAGTTTGATCTATAATTGACCTTATGATCAATAACTTGCCACCATGTGAATGAATTACACTTTATGGTTAGTTACTCTTTTGCCCATTTATAACCATTGAATCTTCGTCTATGTCCCAATAAATAGGAAAATTTGATAACATTACATATAGGAAGCAATTTGCTACTATTATAAATTTCCTATTTAAATATTGCATTTATTTTCTATTCTATAGTCCGTTTCTAAAATCCAAATAATGCTCAATAATTAGGTAACTCATGATGCAGAAACTGATTCAAACATAATATTACTGTACATAATTATATTCTTCAAATAAAATCACGATGATTGAAAAATAAAAGCAAACCCAGTAGAACAATTTTTAACTATTTCAATAATCGATTAAAATAATATATATAACGGTTATATATAGTAAAGAAAATTTTCATATAACATTTCAGAATCTATACTTTCCTTTGCTCAATAGGAATGATTCTATAAATTGAAAAACAGCCTTCTTCAAATCAGCACATATATGAAATATTCATATATAGATCAAAATACACTAGTGCCATATAAAGAAGTTACTGCCTCATATCCTTTAAATAAAATAATAAAACCTACTCATATAATATTATCTAATAAATAACTTTACACTAATTCAATAAGCATATAAACAAATATATTATAAACAAATACAAAATTTTAGGAGTATACGATTTTATATAAAAAACGTATCAACTTTAGACTGTTGTAAAAATTTCACATATTTATAGAAAAATATATAAATACAACATTCATACGCAATGATTCAATGAAATGAACAACACCACCAATGTGAAAAATCTAATAACAATTCTTTAATTAAACTGAATAATATATCATTGAACAATATGGATATAATAAAGAATAAGAACTGATAAATAATTCAGATTAATATAATAATAGAAATTAAGAATGAAAATGACAATAATAAAATAGGTAAGAAAGAACTGGCCTGATTGTTGAGGCATGTGTAAACACATGGACCTAAAGTTGATAATTCTCCCATTCATGCGGGTATTGGTGAAACTAGTCAATTCCAAGATACAACCCAATCAGTTCGCAGTGACGTCTCCTCCATGTGCACGACCACAGAAAAACTAGGTCCAAGTCTATACTTGTCTCGGTACCCATAAACTCAATATGTAAAATAGTATATAATAGAATATAGAATATTTTTATATGAGTCTCACTCATTCATATATCATCACTCATATATATTCATATATACAAATATTAGAAAGATAGAAAGAATATGATAGGAGTATATACCTCTCCATATTTTAGATCAATGTCTCTACCATATATAACTCTACCACCACTACCATACATATATATAGATAGTAAATATGTAATGTCTAAGATATATTATGATAAAAATAATGATTCAAATAATATACTCATAAATATTATTTAACTTCTGTAATAATAATTATGTAACACATTTAATAATATACATAATAAATATTATATTAAATATTTTTTTATGTTTTTTATTAAAATATTTATAACATAGTAGTAAAGAGTTCACTAGTGGTGGAGTTGGTGAAAGATGGAACAGCTCAGAAGATAAAGTTTTCTCGGATGCTGTGCTAAATTTTCAGATAGTGGGTTTCATTCAGGATTTAAAGGGCGTTTGGAGGGTTTTAGAGAATTGGATAAGAATGTGGAAAAGATTGTGGATGGTGATCTTGATAGCAGCCAATCACTAACAGTTAATGCAAATGTTGGTAAGCATTTAATGATAGTAGATAATTCTTTGATGCTGACTACTTGTTGGGTAGTATAATTATGGCCTATTGACGATTTCTTAAAAGATTTTGTTTAAGTAAATTTATTGTTGTTTTACTTTTACAGGGGAATATACTATAGAAACAATGAAATGGAATTATCATTGTAGAACAATGGTCATCTAAATTCCTTAGCATAAATGAATTGATGACATAAAAAGGGGGTTTCACAAAACGCCTCTAATTTGATTTATGTCCTTTAGATATTCTCTTCATTTGAGTTGTTATGAGAACTACAACTACAAAAGCATCTCACTTTTGTAATTTGAACATGCAACTGTGGTGATCAATTTTAACTAAGTCTATGCTATGAAATCAATGGGGAAAGAGTGGAATGCTGATAAATTGATAATTAATGAACTATTTAAGCGAATCTTTTCGAATAGGATTTACAACATAAATTTGATTGATAGGACAGAAGTTTGGGAATCAATAAAGTATGTTTGAGTGTGGACGTGGAGCTCGATGAGCTGAAAGACAGATGGACAGATTGAGAAGAGCATGCGTTAGGGTACCTAAACATGGACTTTGTAAGTAGCAAAGGGAAAGGATTTTTTTTTTTTTTTTGATAAGTCAAAGTAAGCGAAAGGTTTAGATGGGTTAGGTTTATTGAAAAAATTCTTTCGATGGCGTCTACCAGGACTAGTGCTTGTAGACGGATACACTTTTCTTGAAGGTGGAGGGAAAAGACAAAAGGGGCACGGAAGATTTTTCTGCATAAGATCTGAAGTTGCTTAGATGAATGGAAGATATGGCTATAGAAAGAGTAGAATGGGGAAAGGTTATCTGTTAACTCAGCTTAAACAAATTTGACGAGGCTCGAAAGATTATAAAATAAGTTAAAAGATTACAGTATGGTGGATATTGTTCTAAAAACATGTCTAGAAGCCTTGTATTTTGGTTATTTGTACAAGAACTATTTGAAGGGCTTCGGTAGATGTGATTGGATGACATAGCTTGCAGGAGAATTACTATGGTCAAATCCTCTCCTATTTATCATATATAAACAGTTTTTTTTTTTTTTGGTTAAACGTGGTTATTTATTGAGGAAGAATCTCAAACAAAACCAACAGCAAAAGCCCACAAGGATGAGATTCAAGGAAGAATCAGCACCCTGGTTACATTACAATCTGAACCAAGCAGAAGACTTCTTGTATCTTCAAGCATTCTGCAATTCCTTTCACTCCAAATACTCCATAGAGCAGTGACAAAAAAGGACTTTCACCAATTTCCTCCTCAAACTAGAAGAAGAATAATTTAGAACCCAATGAATGGCTTGTTGAAAAGAAGTCATCTGAAGAAAAACTTGACAGTGAAAAACTGAAGCAAACCAAGTCCAAACTGATTGAGCAAAGGAACAGCTCGAAAAAAAGATGAGAGGCAGAATCAACATCTCTAAAACAATTGTGACATAAAGCAGCAAGAGAAATCTATATTGACTTCAGAGATTGAAGTTCCTCCTTTTGTTGGTTCTAGTTTTTAGAACCTCTGTTTCTAACTGCCATGCCGTTTTTCAGTTTTGATGGTTCTAAAGGTGAAGAGGCGGCCAATATCTCTGGGCTTTATGTGAAAGCTAACGCATATAAAAACCACAGAAAAACATTGTACTACAGATTGGGGAGGGGCCGCGCGAACGCAGGCCCCCACTACCACAAATTATGATGTAGGCTCCACTACTTGAGTAGACCTTAAATAGGCACCCCTCCTGAGTGCAATGGAGGTCACCAATCTAGACCATGGGCCTCATTGATCACCCATAGATCCCATCCAGGTAAGTATGTTGTGGGTTATGCTTTCAACTCATTATATAGGCCTGTCAGACATAACTCGCATTTATGTTTTGTCGATGTGGGACAACAGAAGCAAACATTATAACCCAACGTCAAGATAGTCTAGACAGAACTTTGATCTGATACTTGACTCTTGAATGCATATTTGATCTTTTGTTAGCAAATTAGGACAAGTCGGTGAAATTGATGCTTGATGAAGGGTGAATGCTTATCTGAATATCTGATCATTGTTCATGTTATTACCCATTGTGAGTGTCAAATACTAATATAAAAGCAAGCTTAAAAGTTGAATGCGCATATCTTCTTATATTTCTTGGTCGGGGCTTCAAAAGTTTGAAAATTGATGGTTGATGTAGGGTTCCTGGAGGATATTGAGACTGTCGAAGAAATGATGGAGACCCTTTTCAAGACTAATCAATTCCATAGGGGCATTGAAGCCTTTTCAATCAATGAGGACCAAAAAAATTGATGATTTGGGTTTATCAATTGGATGTGTAAAAAGAGTAAGCTTGAGCAAGCTTATTTGGTGTTCAAAGAAATGCACAAGAGAGGATTGAAGCATTAACAAATAATAAGCGGATAAAAAAGTAAGCTTGGGCAAGCTTATTCGGTGGTTTTAAATGAACTTTTACTTTATTAAAAAATAATAATAATAATTGGAATCCTGTAAGGAACAAAGAATGCAAGAAAATTCTGCAATTCTTTTGTGGTGCTCAATTTAAATGCAGAAAGCATTTTGAAATAATTCATGGAAATAGCATTAACAAATTTATGAAACTGGACTTAAATTCATGGAAATAGCATTAACCCTGATACTGTTTCATATTCTACATATCATCTTGATTGATTTAAAATTTAATTTTCTTGGACTCAAATTTCAAGAATCAATAAGATGCCCTATAATTCCCGGGGAGAGAAAAAAAAAGAAAGAAAAAAAAGAAAAAAGAAAAAAGAAGATGCCCTATATACCTTATTCCTTGTGCCAAATAAGGTTTTGTTTCAAATGCTTCAATTTAGCTTCTTATTATTGACTAGTTTTATGTTTTTTGTTCAGATAGTTAAGAAATGCAAGTTCCTTTACTCTGCATAAGCTTGCAAAGCCCGTTGGTTAAAATGTTGCATTTATGCAGATGCAGGGGAGAAGTTTGGGACCTGCTAGAATAATTTGATGCCTCAATAGCATTACATATTTCGCTAGAGCACTACAATTGCACTGATATTTAATTTTAATATGTGATACCTCACTCAGTAATATCTGCACGATATTTATGGAGAATTCAACCATATATTACATTGTCATATGTAAGGTGTGAATAATAGTTCTCTTGTATAAGTAAAAGTAGTAGGGATTCCGGATTCTGTCTAATTTAACAGACTACATAAATAATGGGATT